TTTACATGCGAAGGAACCCCCATAAGACTATCATCAGGTCTTTCAGCAGAAACTTTGCAGGTCAGAAGGGAGTGGCACTATATATTCAAAGTGCTGAAAGAAAAAAATTTCCAAACATGAATAGTCTACATGGCAAAGTTATCTTTCAGAATTGAAGGAGACAGAAAGAGTTTTTCAGAATAGCAAAAGCTAAAGGAGTTCATCACTACTAAACTAGTCTTACAAGAAATGTTAAAGGGACCTCTTTAAGCAAAAATGACAGAGATCTAATTAGTAATGGGTAAACATATGACAATATAAATATCACTGGTAAAACTAGATATATAGTAAATTCAGAATAATCTAATGTTGTAAAGGTGGTGGGTTAATCACTTATAAAGCTAGCAAGAAGGTTAAAGACAAGAGTAGTAAAAATAACTATAACTCCAATAATTTGTTAAGGGATACATAAGGTAAAAATATGTAAATTTTGACATCAATAATGTAAAACATGAGGTGACAGTAAAAATGTAGGGCTTTAAAATGCATTAAAATTTATCTTTTTTTTTTTTTTAAAGATTGGCACCTGAGTTAAGAACTGTAGTCAATCTTCTTCTTTTTTTAATTCTTCTCCCCAAAGGCCCCCAGTACATAGTTGTAGATTCTAGTTGTGAGTGCCTCTGGTTGTACCTTGTGGGATGCCACCTCAGCATGGCCTGATGAGCAGTACCATGTCCATGCCCAGGATCCAAACTGGCAAAACCCTGGGCCACTGAAGCAGAGTGAGTGAACTTAAGCACTCGGCCACAGGGCTGACCCCTGTTATCAACTTAAAATAGATTTTATAAATATGTTGTTTTATGTAAGCTTCACAGTAACCACAAAGCAAAAAACTATAGTAGATACATGAAAGATAAAGAGAACAGAATCTAAGCATACCAATCCAGAAAATCATCAAATCATGAAGGAAGGGAGCAAGAAAAGAAGAAATGAACAGAGGACCTATAAAACATCCAGAAAATAGTTATCAAAATGGCAATAAGTACATACATATCAATAATTACTTTAAATATAAGTGGACTAAATTCTCCAATCAAAAGATGTAGAGTGGCTAAATGGATTAAAAAAACAAGACCCATCAACATTTTGCTTACAAGAGACTCACTTAAGCTTTAAGAACTCTCATAGGCTGAAAATGAAGGGATAGAAAAAGATATTCCATGCAAATGGAAACCAAAAGAAAACTGAGGTAGCTATACTTGTGCCAGATGAAATAACTTTAAAACAAAGATTGTAATAAGAGACAAAAAAGGTCATTACCTAATTATAAAGGGGTCAACCCAACAAGAAGATATAACATTTGTAAATATTTATGCACCCAGCATAGGAGTACCTAAATATATAAAGAAAATATTAACAGGCCTAAATGGGTTAATAGACAGAAATACAATAATAGTAGGGAATTTTAATACCCCACTTTCACCAATGGATATATCATCCTGACAGATTATCAATAAGAAAACCTTTGCCTTAAATAACACGCTAGACCAGATAAAATTAACAGACATCCCAAACATTCTGTACAAAAGCAACAGAATGCACATTCTTCTTAAGTGTACATGAAACATTGCCCAGAATAAATCATATGTTAGACCACCAAACAAGTCAATAAATTTAAGAGGATTTAAAACTAACCAAGCCTACTCCCACCACATTGGTGTGAAACTAGAAGTAAATTACAAAAAACTGGAAAATCTACAAACATGAAGATTAAACAACATGCTACTGAAAACCAACAGGTCAAAGAAAAAATCTAAACAATACCTTCAGACAAACGAAAATGGAAATACAGCATACCAAAACTTATGGGATGTAGCAAAAGCAGTTCTAAGAGGGAAATTCATAATGATAAATGCCTACATCAAGAAACAAGAGGGGCCAGCCCCGTGGCCTAGTGGTTAAGTTAGGGCATTCTGCTTTGGGGCCGGGATTTGGCTCCAAGGCACAGACCTACACCACTCATCAATGGCCATGTTGTGGCAGCGACCCACATACAAAATAGAGGAAGATTGGCAATAGATGTTATCTTACTGTGAATCTTCTTCATAAAAAAAAAAAGAAACAAGAAAAATCTCCAATAACCTAACTTTACACCTTAAGAAACTAGAAAAAGTAGAATAAGTGAAGCCCAAAGTTAGTAGAAGGAAGAAAATAACAAAGATCAGAGTTTAAATAAATAAGACAAAAACTAAATAGACAATATAAAATATGAATGAAACTTTAAGAACTGGCTTTTTGAAAAGATAAAAAAATGCAAACCTTTACTTAGACACATCAAAGAAGAAGGAGAAGACTCAAATAAATAAAATCAGAAATGAAAGAGGAGATGTTACAAATGATACCACCAAAATATGAAGGATTATGAGTGACTACTAAGAACAATTAAATGCCAACAAATTGGACAACCTAGAAGCAATGGATAAATTCCTAGAAACATACAACTGAACAAGACGGACTCATGAAGAAATAGAAAATCTGAGCAGATTATTACTACTAACCAGATTGAATCAGTAATCAAAAACCTCCCAAGAAACAAAAGTCCAGGACCAGGAGGCTTCACTGATAAATTCTACCAAACATTTAAGGTAGAACTAATACCAGTATTCTCAAACTAATCCAAAAAAATAGAAGATAAAGGAACACTTCCAAACACAATTTTATGCAGCCACTGTCATCCTGGTACCAAAATCAAAGACACCACAAGAAAATAAAATTTATGATAAAAACTCTCAACAAGCTGAATATAGAGGGAATGTAACTCCGCATAATAAAGGCCATATATTACAAGCTTACAGCTAGCATCATACTCAATGGTGAAAACTGAAAGTTTTTCCTCTAAGATAAGGAACAAGACAGGGACAACCACTTTCATTCAACATAGTATTGGAAGTCCTAGCCAGAGAAATTAGGCAAGAAAAATAAATAAAAGACATCCAAATTGGAAAGGAAGAAGTAAAATTGTCACTATTTACACATGACATGATATTACATATAGAAAACCCTAAAGGATTGTTTACTCTATTTCTGTGAAAAATACTATTGGAATCTTGATAAGGATTGCATTGAATCTGTAGATTCGTTTCAGTAGAATGAGCATTTTAACAGTATTAATTCTTCCAATCCATGAGCACAGAATATCTTTCCATTTATCTGTGTCTTCTTCAATTCCTTTCATCAATGTCTTATAATTTGGAAGGTACAGATCTTTTTGTTTAAATTTATTCCTAAGTATTTTATTGTTTTTCATGCTGTTGTATTCATGCTTTCTCAATTTCTCTTCCAGATCTTTTGTTATTAGTATATAGAAATTTAACTGATTTCTGTATGTTGGTTTTGTATCCTGCAACTTTACTGAATTCATTTGTTAGTTCTAATGCTTTTGGTGGAGTCTTTTGGATTTTCTATATGTAAGATCATGTCATCTGAAAACAATGATAGTTTACTTTTTCCTTTCTGAATTGAATGCCTTTTATTTCTTTTTCTTTTCTAATTGATATGGCTAGAACATCCTCTACTATTTTGAGCAGAAATGATGAGAGTGGGCATGCTTGTCTTGTTCCTGGTCTTAGATGAAAGATTTCTAACCTTCCATCATTAAGTATGTTAGCTGTAGGATTTTCATACATGGCCCTTATTATGTTGAGGTACATACCGAATTTGTTGAGAGTTTTTATCATAAATTGGTGTTGAATTTTGTTAAATGCCTTTTCTTCATCTATTGAGATGATTATGACTTTTATCCTTTATTTTGTTAATGTGGTATATCACATTTATTGATTTGCTATGTTGAATCCTTACATCCCAGGATGAATCCTACTCAGTCATGATGTATGATCTTTTTAATATGCTCGTGAATTCTATTTGCTAGTATCTGTTGAAGACTCTTGTGTGTAGGTTCATCAGGGATATTGGTCTGTAATTTTATTTTCCTACAGTGTTCTTTACTGGCTTTGGAATTTTTCCTTCCCTTTCTACTTTTTGGAAGAGTTTGAGAAGGATTGGAATTAATTCTTCTTTAAATGGTATAATTCACCTGTGAAGCCATCTGATCCTGGGATTTTATTTGTTGGGAGATCTTTGCTTCCTAATTCAAATTCCTTGCTTGTTATTGGTCTGTTCAGATTTTCTGTTTCTTCATGATTCAGGCTTGTTAGGTTGTATGTTCCTAGGAATTTATCCATTTCTTCCAATTTATCTAATTTGTTGGCATATAATTGTTGATAATAGAGTCTTATGATCCTTTGTATTTCTGGAGTATCAGTTGTATTGTCTCCTCTTTCGTTTATAATTTTATTAATTTAAGTCATCTCTCCTTTCTTCTTAGTATAACTAAATGTTGGTCAATTTTGTTTATCTATTAAAAAACTGACTCAGTTTTGTTGATCTTTTCTATTATCTTTCTAGTATCTATTTCTTTCATTCTGCTCTAATCTTTATTATTTACTTTCCTTCTGTTAACTTTAGGCTTAGTTTGTTCTTCCTTTTCTAGTCACTTGAAGTGTAAGTTTAAGTCATTTATTTGAGATCTTTCTTGTTTCTTAATGTAGTCATTTATCACTATAACCTTACCTCTTAGCACTGCTTTTGCTGCATCCCATAAGTTTTGGTATGTTGTGTTTCCATTTTTGTTTGTCACTAGATTTTTAAAATTTATTTTTTGATTTTTTCTTTGACTCATTGGTTATTCAGAAGTGTGTCACTTAATTTCCACATATTTGTGAATTTTCCAGCTTTCCTCCTATTATTCATTTCTAGTTTTATACTTTTGTGGTCATAAAAAATACTTGATATGATTTCAATCTTCTTAAATTTTTAAGACTTGTTTTGTGACCTAGTATATGATCTAATCCATAGAATGTTCCATGTGCACTTGAGAAGAATGTGTAATAAAATAATCTTTACCAGTAGATTTTATACTTGTATATGTTTTCATATTACTAATCAGCATCCTTTCATTTCAGCTTGAAGAACTCCCTTTAGCATTTCTTGTAAGGTAAGTATGGTGGTGATAAATTCCCTCACTTGGAGGTGGCTATGATGTCACTGGCTAGGTGGGGTATAGCATCTCTGATTCCTGGGAGGGCACAGCAGTGTATTCTCTGTGCAGCTTCATCAGCTGAGGTCAATGTTGGGGAAAACTCTGGAGGTCTCCTGTGTCAAAGACTGTGGAAGTCCTGTGGGTAGCAATGACAGCTAGGGCTATTAAAGTCCTCAAAGGTGAATACTGCTGAGGACTTCTTGTTCTCCTCTTCTGCCCATGCGAGGAAGTTCTAGCTGAGCAGATCCCTCTTGGTGCCAGGTCTGGTGCCCTGGCACTCTGATCAATAGCAGGGCCAGTCCTGGAATCACATGCATGTGGAACAATCACAGCGCTTGGGTCCTGGGGCACAGTAGCACTTGCTGTGGCAGTGGAGCTAGTGTCTGAGGTGAAGGTATGTGCAGATCTCCTGTGGGACCAAAGTCTAGGTCTCAGGAGTTCACTGCAATGACTAGGGGGTAAGGGGGATGGAATAGTGTCATGGGCTCTGGGATGACAGGGTGCAGTAGTAGCCTGGGCCCAGGGAGCAGGGTGCAGTAGCAGCATGGCTTTGGATGGTGAGTCAAAGTCCCAACTCTGGCCCCAGGGGGAAGTTACAGAACAGCAGCATTACATCCGGGTGATGGCCATTGAAGCCAAGTGTCAAGATCCAGAGGGTGGAGTACAGAGAAGCAGCATCTTGGCCTGCTAATGGAGAGTCAAAACCACAACCTAGGGCCCACGCAGGGCTCAGAGCAGTGGCAGCTCCTCTGGTTCTATAGGGGGTGAGGTGCTGTGGCTTTCCAGTCTTGGAGAATGGGGCACAGCAGCAACTGGGGCCCTGGGCACAGGTCTCACCACAGTGACAGCTCCAGCCCTAGTCCTGGAAAGGACATGGGGGGTGCTTGGGGGAGGTTGGAATATATAGATATTTTATAATCCAGCCTTGGTTTCCATCAGCTCAAAGATGAGTCTACTACTTAAAAGGAATTGCTGCTTTTTCCTCCCTGATGATAATTTTTTTTGATCCTTTTCTTTTGCAGTTCAAAAATTGGCCTCTCATTTAAAACTGACTGATTTTTTGAAGAACCATAGATGTATTAAGCATACACATTTTATGTATTCCAAATAATATTCCAGTGAACTTGAAGTTTTTAAATTCGTCTGTTAATACTTCTCAAAGTGTGGTCTCTGGACTAGCAGCCTTGGCATCAACTGGGAACTTATTAGAAATACAAATTCTTGAACCCCACCCCAGATCTACTGAATCAGAAGCTGTGGGGTTCGAGTCCAGAAATCTGTTTTAACAAGTCCTTTGGGTGATTCTGATGCAGGCTAAAAGTGGAGAACCATTGTACTACATTTATACTGCTCTCAGTTAAAGATATCCCAGTATCATTACTATAGAAACATAAGTAGTTAGATTTATGTACTGCTTTTCTATTTCCATTGTCACTATTACTCATATATAATAATATTCTGTTTTCTATGATGTCACATGTAATAAAAATTACATCAACTCTAATGAAATTAACAAAACTATTTTTTAAAATCACACAATAGCTTTTCTTTAAAGTGTCATATACTGCTGCCCGAAAATCTTCTCCCCACCCATACTTTTGAAAATGAATGAATTCTGGACAACGTAAACAACATGAGCAAATTCGTGGAGACAGCAATGAAAATTGCAAGTGTGTAAGGCTTATGAAAATAACACTGACATGAGTAGATGGTGCTCATTGAACAACAGTGGGAAGTAACCTGGATACACAGGGTGGGCCCAGATCATGGAGGGCCTTAAACAGCAGCACGTGAGTTTGAATGTTTGAATTGCTTTCCCTTTTTTCTAATCTTAAAAAAGTTGCAGTTATCTTTTAAATCATAAATGAAAATGTTCGCTCTATTAAAAATGTTAATTTTTGAACACTGCACAACCAATTTCAAAAAGGAAAGAAAGTAAACATAAATGCCTCATGACAAAAACCTGACTGATATGTGTTAGAGCATATTCTGTAGAATTTGTAATGGCACAAAATACAAATGCTAAGAATTTTAAAGACATGATTCTCACCAATCAATGTTAATAACATTAAAATATTATTTACTTATTTATTTTTTTGGTGAGGAAGACTGGCCCTGAGCTAACATCTATGCTAATCTTCCTCTATTTCGTATGTGGGACACCACCACAGCATGGTTTGATGAGTGGTGTGTGGTCTGTGCCTGGGATCCAAACCCATGAACCATGGGTTGCCAAAGTAGAGCATGCAAACTTAACCATTATGCCACTGGGCCAGTCCCTAAAATATTATTTTTAATCACATTTTTACTGTACCCTGGAGAGCATAAATATTATTGGACGAGATTATATTAAATCTAATATGAATTATCATTGACATAGGTATTTAAACTTATATGTTTTGGTACCTTGAATGTTACTATTCAATACTATTCAATATATAAATACTATATATTTCTCCAGCAAGAATTAGAACAATGAACAATAACATTAATCTAATTTTGGAGTTCTGTTTTGTGTCAAAAATTAATAAGGAAAATTAGATTTCTACAGAAACAATTTAAAGTGGAATAAAGTTAATGGAATAGTAGCTATCCTCTACAATCTCTCATTGTAAATATATTATTTACATTTTGTACAGTAGTAGAAAATGCATAACCTATGTGGTAAGAAGAAATCATGAATTGAGCATAAAGTATCAATTAAGAGAAAATAAATGGAGTAATTCTTCACTAGTGACTGATTATCTATTCCCTGAAACTGTGAAAGATTCCAAAGGTGATATAAGGATGAAATGTATTGATAACTCCTGTGAGGGTTTTGGAGAGAATATACATAGAAATTAATAGGAGAATGTTATCGTAAGTTGCCAATGATTGGGTTGTGAGCAATATGAATTTTATGCTTCTCCCTAGAATTATTTTTCCAACACAAGCTTTAGTTCAACATAGCAGCCTGCCCATGAACAGTAATTGCTGAGATTATCTAAATCAGATCCAATCCAGCTTTTCAGTTTGCTCCTATGGACTACCCAGATAACGGTGTCATTTATATATTAATTATGTGATAATTTGATTAATTGAGCTAATATTTGTGCCAAATATGTGTGCTTCTCAAGCCTGTCTACAAAATAGGATTCACCTGGAGTGCTTTTAGAAAAACATTAATTCTCTGCCCCTATCCCCAGACCAATGAAACCATATTGTCTGTAGGTGATTCAAATGTGCAGCCAGAGTCGAGAACTATGGTACTTATTATTTCATGATATAAGGGAAATCAACTAATACCCAAGTTCATATACAAATGACTTCAGCTGATTTTTGTTTACCTAGATCTTGTAGCTACTGGCAGAGGGGGTCCAGTGAACAGATTCAGTTTATATTGGCTCCATTTAAATGTTTCTCCTCCAAAACCACTTCTTTCATGGCAATTACAACTTCCTATCCACAGCACTCCCCCATAGAATTTCCTGTGATAATGGAAATATTCTATATCTGTGCCCTCCAATATGGGAGCTATGAGCCATATGCAGCTATCAAGCTCTTGAAATGTGGCTAGTGTGACTTGAGAATCTAGATTTTTAATTTTATTTAATTTTAATTAGTTTAGCCATATGTGGTTTGTGGCTCCCATGTTGGACAGCACAACTCAAGAATTATCAGTGATCCAACAGTTAATCAGAACCTGCGAAGGTAATGAACTATTCAGAGGGATATTTAGGAAATCTTGCTGATGAATGACTAGTAGAACTAAAAATGGCTTGCTGGAGAGGTATTCCTTCTTCTATAGTAGTAATGGAACTAATAGTATCCCTATTAGTAGTAATAATAGTACTAATAAAAGTATTAGTACTTTTTTACTATTTACATTTACTATTAGTAATAGTAAATGCAATAGTATAACTAATATTAGTAATAGTATTCCAACAGAGGAACAGTATTTCAACAGAGCTGTTGGATAAGATGTAATGCTTCTTAGGATAGCAGGATGACGTATTGAGCAGGCGATGTCAGTTTCAACCAAGAACTCTGACTAGCTTAAATTAGACCAGGATTAGGGCAAAAATGAGTAGGGTCTACACCCTTTGGAAAGCATTGGCTACCATCAAAGATAAGACAAGTCCCTTCCCTTCTTGAATAGGTTAGATAATGAGATAGTCATGGCATAGATATGAGAATGATCATCTAATGAACCCTGGAAACTCAAAGATTCCTTTGGTTCTCTGGTGAGTCAATCAAAAGCAGAAAACTTGTGTAAATCATATGAATGCTTTAAGTAAACTGAAAAAAGCCCAGAGAGTATTTCTCTAGTCTTTTGAATACATTTTTACTACAGTTGTTCGAAATATGGTGCTGCTGAAGACAGATCTGGCCTACCTAAGCCAAAGGTTTGTGTCAGTCTGCTTTGGAATGTAAATTAGAATGTCATCTTCATAAACAAGCTCTATCCAGAAGGTAGTGGAAGGATAATTTTTTGTTCATAAAAATTATGGGATCATTCATGCTCTTGAGGCTTACTCAATTGGCAAGGATGCCTCTAACATTCCATTTTCCACTTGTCACTATCTCTCATTGAAATCAAATTGTTGATGTCTTAAACATTCAGTTCCAAACTTCTCATAAAGCTGGTCCAGGAGATTAGAGATCAACAAAAGCAGATAGCAATCTAAATGTAACCATTTGATACCTTAGTGGTTTGAGAGGCAAAATGTTTTACTTTTCTTCTTCAAGAGGAACACATGATTACTTTTGGGGGGAGGTTAGAGGAATTTATTTTCTCCCTTTATATGTTGGTGGTTAACTTTTTGCATGGGAACAATGATTTCAGGAGCAGAGAGAGTATATTCATTTGGAGGTTCCTAGGTACCAGTTGACTACACAGCTACATTCATGATGCAGGGGCGACATTCAATTGTTTTCTCATTTAGAAAACAACTCTCAGCATGTTGTGCTCTTATCTAGGTCAATGAACACTGGGGTGGCAAATAAAACAAAATTTTTAACAGGCTGTGGACAGTAAATTGTACCTTAGAGAATATGAATTTCCAACAGAAATGGCTGAATCATTGGGCCAAAGAATAAGGCGTGTCAGTCACTAGAATCCGGGGTACTGATAGCTTCTAACTGAGTGAGATCCTGGTTCTTGGAGCTACCTTGACACTTTGAAGTCTATCATTGCTTTAATCTAATGGGAGGAACCTACACCGCAGAGTTTCACTGAGACAGAGACTGCTGTCTCTGCATCTACAGACTGGAAAGGCAAAAAGCATTGTGATTGTTTTCTCTCTCATGCCTCTTCCACTGCCCTATCACCTGCCAGGACAGCCAATCAAATGCTCAAGTTGCAGATGGTAAGCTCGCAGGCTGAGTGCTCATGGTTAACATGCACTGATCCTCCAAAATACAAGTATAATTTCTATCTTAGGAGCACGGAATTTCAGACTCTTCAATATGGGCAGAGGCCGTAGTGGTAGAAACTATGTGTGGACAGGTTCTTACATGTGACCATATGTTCATCATCTGAGGATCAAGGACACAAGTTCATCTAAATTGCTCAAGGACATATAGCACATAAGCAGCAGATAAAGTTGGGAAACCATACAGTTGAGCTTTAAAGTCCAGGATTTTCATCTCTAATATATATCCTACCACAAGGCCAATCTCACGGCCAATTCCTACCGTAAGAGCCAATCTCACAATGTTATTAAAAAATTATCCTGATATTTGTTAAAAATGGTAATAAAGACTTTATTCAAGACTATTGCAATAAGGGAGGGAGATTGAGCTCAACTCCAAATACAGCAAAGACAACTGGGGGTTTATAGCCAATGAGCAGAGTGAGGGGGTCAGCAGATGTAAAATTACTAAGAGACGGCATCAAGGGTAGTGGGATTCCTACTAAATTAACCTAACAATATTCTTGCTAAAGGCAGGCCAACGACAGGGCCAAGCATGAGGCCTAAGTCAAAAAGAGAGCTTAACTAAAGTTTGGTTAAGGAGGGAGTCTTTGTCAATGTTCAGCGAAAATGAACCTTTTAGCATTGAGAGAAAGATCATTGATTTTGAAACCCAAAAAGCCTAGATAATATTCGAAAACTGCCATGCAATTAGTGTGAAATATACTCATAACAAGAAATGCACAAAACTGAAAGTCTCAGAAATGCTTGTGTGTGTTAGAGGTTGAATTAAATGAAATTTACAATTACAATTTAAAATGAAATTTACAAAAAAATAAATTTACAATTTATTTTCAGAACTCTTCTTTACTATCTGGAACAAATTTGAAACTCTAAGATCAAAGCCTCTTTGGTGCCGATATTAAGAAAGGAGCTCTATATTGAAGTTCCAGCTTGCTTCTGTCCAGTAATGTCCCTGTAATGCCTTCTGCTGTGGTGTGAAAGCGATTAAAAGAAACTTGTGCTCTGCATGTTTTGACAATGTCATGATTATTTAAGTGTCATAGTGTTTGCAAATCTATTCTATAGGATACTATAGAGAAAAGTCAGCTTCATACATTTCTTACACGTCCAGGTAAAGGAACTGAATTTAGAAAAGAAAATATCTTGCTTTAGGCTTTTTCTATTAAAACTGGAAATTCATTGAAAAGATCAAAACAAAGTTTTTATTATTTGTATAATATTTATTAAACCCAGTGAGACTACAAATCATACTACTAGCTCTAGCTGAACTGTGAAAGATACTCATAAACTCAAAGAACTTATTGTGTGTTGGAATGTTATTAATGAATATCAAGTTTAATTGACACTAGTGTTAAAAGCGACATTGGAAAGAGTAAGAGGAAAAAAAAGAATAAGAGAAAAAGCTTCTAAATATTGAATGAGTTAGTAATCCAGTATCTTTATGTTGTCATTCTTTCTCTTTTGGCCCTGAGATTGATGGATTTTCTTTATTATTATCATCTAATCACATGTCTCTTTTTATGTGAAGATTTGTCGAAATATTTTCTCAGCTTCTAATATTTCTAAATCTTATTAATATTTTGGTATCTTATCTACTTGAAAACCCAAATGAAATAATACTGATGTATTTAATTAGATTTTTTCAAGAATTCAAAATTACTGTACTCACCATTTTAAAAAGTGCTTATAATATTGCTAGACTACTGCTTTAGTGAAAAAAATCAATAGGCATTTAAATTTCCGTATTTAAGAATTTAATCTTTCACATATAGGAGCTTGTAATATGATATACAGTCGCTGTCGATCCCAGAGATAGATTCAAAGTCATTTCTCTGTCACATCTTTGGTGCCCCTCAGTGAAACACAGACAAATTTTAAAGCAAAATACATTTTTGCTCCATCACCGTAGCAATTTGTTTTGAAAACTTTGAGACCTAGGTGGAGGATAACATTTGATCCCAGTTTATTTACCTTCATTCTATAGAATATATTTCTTTAAACAACCCTAGAGTGCAGAGCATGTGTTGTAATAAATCATGTACAACATCTAATTCTAGTCCATGTAGAATTCCTTTTACAACTTGATGTCTGGCCTCTGCTTAGGTCCATCTATTTACAGTGATCTCACGCTCTCCATTTTGGAAGTCTCTCACTGTCAGAAATGGTTCTTAACATTGAGTCAAACTCTACCTTCATATAAATTATTCCTCTTGGTGAGGCTAAAATGAAACTGAAAAAATATTTTAAAAGAGATTAAATGAGATGGTAAAAGTAGAGTTCCGGAACGGTGACTGGCACCAAAAACATTACCTAATTATTATCATCAAAACCACTGAAAATGCTTTACAAGAATTATCTCCATGGGTGTGAAGATTAAGTAGGATGATATATTTAATATATTTGAAAGTAATATTACTCAGTGGGATTATTAGGGAAAGTTTTACTTAGAATCAAGAGAGAACTCGATATATCTATAATATTTTATCAATATTATTTTCTTAATAATAACCTTTAAATGTTTCAAGAACATAATATTGATTGAAAAAAACCAAACACACTAGAAACTATGATATTCAAGACAAAATGATGTATATAGATACTGAACTGTAGTCAAATTTGTTTCTTGCAGGAGCACAGATTAACAATTCTAAACATATGTTACATGTATTCTGAGGTTGAACAAATAAATATAGGCATGATGGAGAGAAGGAGCTAGGTTTCTCACCATTGGAGGGAGATGTTATAGACAAGAAAGATGGAAAGCCTAGAATGAACTCCATGGTAATGGGTATATGGAAAGTCTTTGTATTATTTTTGCAACTTGTCTATAGGTCTAAAATTATTTTAAAATAAAAACATTTTTTAAATAATCACCCAGAGAGCATTTGTATAATGAAATCTGAAGATGAATAGGAAACCCTAAATTTAAGATTTGGATCTGAAAAACAGGTTCTGTTTTGATACTTGCCCTTGTCTCACCCCCTTCCCAGCATGGCACAGTGTGGGTGGAGTGAGCAGCACAGTTCCCAGTTCCCTCCTTCAAGCCAGAAAAAGCAGAATAGAAAATATTAGCAACATTCTAACCTGTCAATCATCTCCCAAAGGGACTGGTTTCTGTCTTGCTGGAGTCATAGCTCATAGTTTGGATCTCAGTTGGCAGGAGCTGTGGGAGGCAGTGGCAGGCACCTTGGCACATGGAAACTGCAGGGGAAATGTACACCTGTGCTCATCTGGGAGCAAGAGATTATGGGCAGAGAAATACAGTAAAACATCTAAAGCCCTGAGAAAAAGCTGGGATGAGACTCTTTGGGAAATTAAGACTTAAGCAGAGAGAAATTAGGGGAAAAAAAGGTACACACAAAGGCCCAGGAAGGACACATGCCCAGAAAAGAACTGAGAATACCTTAAACTTTCACTCTGGGCTGATTATAAGGCTCAAGGGCCTACTAATTAGCAAAGGTCTTCCAGGCCAGTCTGCAAACACTGGGGGAGGTATTTGCTCTTTCAAGTGGCAACTGTCAACAGGAAATCACAAAGCATGCAGAGAAACAAAAATATAGTCTATTAAAAGTAGCAAAATAAATATCTAGAAACTGTCCCTGAAAAAACACAGGCATCAGCTTTACTAGATAAAGCCTTTAAAGCAACTGTCTTAAATATGTTCAGAGAGAAAGTAAAATATGATCAAAGAACTAAAGGAAATCAGGGAAATGAGATACAAACAAAATGAGAATATCAACAAAGAGAAATTATAAAAAATAACAAAACAAGGAGGATTTGGAGAAGATGAAGAAGTAAGAAGTACCAGAAATCCATCTCCCCACCTGGACAAAAACCGTACTGGCATATCTGTCTGATATAACAATTTTGGAAATATGGAGTCTGAAGTCTTGCAATTTTCAAAGGAAGATTTGGATGGTAAGTTACAATTAATTTCTGTCAATTTCAGCATTAAGCATGGTAGCAGCTACCCAGCCCCCAGCCCCTAGCCCAATGGGAGGCATCAGTATTCCTGGAGCACCCAGCACACAGCTTATGGGAGCCAAAGTGGGCAATAAGGAACCTGTCTAAGTATTTGGGATCTGTGCTCTGATCACAATTGCTGCTTCTGCCCACTGAGGTGCAGAGCTTAAGTCTACACCTCAGGCTGATCCCCAGCACAGAGACAGCCACAAGAATCAATCAAAACAACACAGCAAACTCCGGGGAAGGGAGAGAATCTCCAATGTTATAAAATTATAAGATTCAAACGTCCAGTTTTGCAAAAAAAAAAAAAAAATCACAAGGCATACAAAGAAATAAAAATATGGCCCATTCAAGGTTAAAATAAATGAGCAGAAACTGTCCCTGAGGAAAACTAGTCGGCAGACTTACTAGATGAAGACTCTAAAGCAACTGTCTTGAAGATGCTCAGAGAGCTGCGAGAAGAAGCGGAGAATGCCGAGAACACACGGAATGAACAGAGTGGAGATATCCAATGAAGAGAAAATACTTTAAAAGAAGAGAAAATTTGAATTGAAAAAATACAATAACTAAAGTGAAAAGTTCACTAGAGGGATCTAAAAGCAGATTTGAGAAGGTGGAGCAAAGGATCAGTGAACTTGATAAGACAATTGAAATTATCAAGTCTGAGGAACAGAAAGAAAAAAGATTGAATTAAAGTGAACAGGGCCTAAGGGACACCATCAAGCAGATGAAAATATGCGTTGTGAAATTCCCAGAAGGAAAAGAGACAGAGAAAGGGGAAGATAGATTATTTGAAGAAATAATGGCTGAAAACAAAACAAACAAAAGTTGAGAGAGTTTAGCACATCTAGACCTGCCTTAGAAGAAATGCTAAAAGGAATTCTTGGAGTGGACATAAAGGGTGGAATTGACATCATAAAACTTAGGAAGGTAGCATAAACTCACGGGTAAATGTAAACATATGGTAAAAGTAGGATCTGTAATATGATAAAGATGGTGCATATTCACTTACAACTCTAGCTTAACGTTAAAAAACAAGTATAGTAAAAATAACCACAACTACAATAAGCGGTTATTGGATACATAATGTAAAAAATGTGCAAACTGTAACATCAATAACCTAAAGTGTGATAGGGGCAGAAGTAAACAGATAAAGTTTAGGAATGCTACCAAATTTAAGTTGTTATCAGTTTAAAATAGGGTGTTATAACTTTAAGATATTTTATATAAGCCTCATGCTAACCACAAAGGAAAAACCTGTAGTAATTACACAAAAGGACATGATAAAGCCAAAGCATATAGATACCAAAAGACATCAAACCACACACACACACACAAAGGATAAGAAGCAAGACCAAATTTACAATGGGATCAAAGTAAGTTAATAAAATAGACTATTAAAGATATAAGTTGTTAAATGTAAGCCTCTTGGTAATAACAAAGCAAAAACTTACAGTAAATACACAAAGTGTAAAGAGAAAGGAATATAAGCATACCACTAAATAAAGTCATCAAACCATAAAGCAAGAGAGCTAGAGAAGAAGAGAGGAACTACAAAAACAGCCAAAGAGCAATTCACAAAATGGCAATAAGCACATACCTATCAATAATTACTTTAAATATAAATAAACTAAGTTCTCCAATCAAAAGACATAGAGTGACTGAATAGATTAAAAAAAATTGATGTATATGCTGCCTACCAGAGACTCACTTTAGATGTAAGGACACACAGACTAAAAGTGAAGGAATGGAAAAAGATATTCCACGCAAATGGAAACAAAAAGAAAACTAGAGTAGTTATACTTATATCAGACAAAATAGACTTTAAAACAAAGACTGTAATAAAAGACAAAAGATATAACATTTGTAAATATTTATGCACCCAACATAGAAGCACCTAAATATGTAAGGCAAATAGTAACAGGTGTAAAAGGAGAAATACATAGCAATACAATAATAATAGGGCACTTTAATACCCCTCTTATGTCGATGGATAGATCATCAAGAGAGAAAATCCATAAGGAATTATCAACTTTAAACAATATGTTTAACCAGATGGACTTAACAAACATTTGCAGAACATTCCATCCAAAAGCAACAGAATACACTTTCTTGTCAAGTGCACATGGAACATTTTCAAGATAGATTATATGCTAGGCCACAAAACAAGTCTTAAGAAATTTAAGAGGATTGAAATGATACCAAACATCTCTCCCAGTCACAATGGTATAAAACTAAAAATTAATTACATGAAGAAAACAGGAAAATTCACAATTATGAGATTAAACAACATGCTACAGAACAATCAAATGGTCAAAGAATAAATCAAAAGAGAAATTAAAAAAACCTGAGACAAATGAAAATACAAACGTGACATGCTCAAATTTATGGGATGCAGCAAAATTAGTTCTTAGAGGGAAGTTCATAGAGATAAATATCTACCTCAAGAAACAAGAAAAGTCTCAAGCAACCTAATTTTTGCACCTCA